TTCAGTATGCTAGATACGGATACCACGCATTTGACGCAAGGCTATCGCAACCGCGATTTGATTGTAAAAAATTCATTACAAATAATATTTATTTACGTACTATTTAAAACACGCGTAGGAGTGTTTTATCATATTTAAAATGGACTTTTATATAAAGAATAATACTGAAGATGAGTTTTATCAGGTATAATAAAGCGTCTTCACGTGACATATTATGGTTGACATGATTTGCCAATGAGCTTATGAATTATTGAGTGTTTGGAATGACAGCACATGCAGTGCGGAATGCAAATCATCTATTTCACCTGGATTGCTGACATCTCACAGTGTGATAATCCAACTAATAATATATATGAAAAAAATTCTCAATTCTGCATGATTGGCTAAGAGTATGTACACATTTTTCGAAATACAGTGCCAAAAAATGAAATACAGTGCAAAACTAAAAGAAATACAGTGCAAATTTCATTGATTATTTAGGCTTTTTGATAGCCAAAGATAGCCAATACGATACAGCAATTCCAGCAGAAATAATAAAAAAAAAACACACAAACATTTAGGAGTTTTTAGGAGTGTGTATACGCAGTCACTCGGAGTGACTGCATAATTTTTTCATGTATATTATTAATAAGTATAATAGTATTGTTTCTCGTGCAATTTGACTAAAAACATACACTCGTGCGTTTTTCAAAGACTTCAAATTGCACTTATCCTTCCGACTTGTGCAATATTTATAGTCTTTGAAAAACTCGTGCCATGTTTAATTTTTTTCCCAAATTGCACTCGAAATATACTATTATATATACTTATATACATATGGTGTTCAATCAAGGCCTATTAATACGTTTCATCTAACAGCGTTGGATGATGTTGGACCAACATGTTGGTCTCGTTCGAACAGACCTTGGGTGTGTGCATGGGGGTTCAATCCATTTTCCCAGTCAAAATTTTGTTTGTATCCCAGTCACCCGACCTGCTGATTTCACAAATCCCATTCTCAGCAGGAATTCTCTGGTGTAACTCCCATTCTCCAAGTGAAAAATAGGTGAAAAATCCCCCGCTCTCACTATAGACATTGTATATTCATTCATATAAGAAAAAACGCTACGCTTCGGTATGATATGGTTGAAGTGCATGGAAAACGGTCTTTGTTACTAGCAAGATACAACGTTGTATCTAACTGTATTATATATATATTTCACATTTCAAATTCCATATCTCCAGTCCATCTGAATCTCGCTCACTTACCTCTCAATATATATAGTTCCTCTTAATAATTATATATATATATTGTCTATTGATTTGCAAATAAAGCTGCTTTTAGTATTTCCTGCATGCAGTTTATTGATTTTAATGCAATTTCTACATTTAGTTTTAATATTGCTGGGCATGTAATAAACTAATTTACACCAGTGCATGTAGTGTAAATTAAATGGCAGTTTAAGAAAAATTTTAATTAAAAATTTCAATTAAATTTCAACAGATTCTGAAATGTAATACAGTTTAGTTATATATTGTTCGTATATAACCCAACGCAGGCTAGTGAACTTTTCAAGGTTGTCGGAAGTGCGTTTATGAAAATTGGAACAAGAAAAAGTTGATTTTGATCTTCCACCAATCTTTCACCCTCAACGGCACAAGGAAAGGTATTTTGAATTCTCTTCTTATTCCAATTTTGAGTTAAAGGGCAGTTCAAACGGATGCAACATTGTTGGCCCAAAGTCAAAGCCGCCCCAAACCATTCAACAATCTTCAAAAAAATTTTATACTCTCAGTTTTTTCGGCAAATATTTTAGAGTACAGATTTTCAATTCGGATTTCAATTCTATCCAAAAGATATGAAAATTAAAACGTTAAAGCCAAACATTTTGACATTGCTTTGTTGCATGGTGCTGGCATTGTTGGATTTGTTTGACGGATCTTATTAAGACAATTGGTAGTTTTAGGAAATGCTCTATCTTAGGCAAAGTATAGTTATCCGTTATACACATGTAATTTAGAAGGACTCGACATGAACATCCTATATGTACTACAACTGGCATTTTCCCAACCGATAACATAATATATAGCTTTGAAGCAGAAATTTGTAAGTCGGCGATCGCGAATGAAAATGCATGTACGTGTCTGTGAACGTATACTGTGGCTGCATTTACATTTGTATACCGGATATAGATTTCGGAAGCGATGTGAGAAACACTTATCCATCATACCTTTTGGGAACGCTCAGTATTTTCAGAGGAATTATTGCAACGGAGAGATGTTGTTTCGCTCAGCTTCTGAAAGTTGTACATTCCGTATCGCCATCGCCCCATCGGATAGGTGCTTTTTCGCTCCGTTACGAAAAACTATCCGGTTTCTAAGGCAAGAAACGGCATGCATGTATAGTTTTTGGTAGAAACAATGTCAATATGCTTGGCCTCGGAAGAGTCGCTTGACGTTTGAAAAGTCCTGTTACAAATCTGTGCTAATTTCAATTTATAAGTCTTTTGTTAATTCACTGATTATAGTTATGGCATTTTATCATATAAGTTAATCAATAACAGCTATAATAACACAAAAATATAGTGTAAACCCTCCTGATTTCAGTATAACCATATGTGGACTGGGTCCGCGAGGAAGCTGTATACTCCAGGGGCAGGTTGTATAAAACTTTTAATCACTTTTTTAATCACTATTTTGTAGTTAAATAGTGATTAACTCTCAAATACGCGCTTCTTATTGGATGACGTTTCCACTTAACTATAGTTAACTTTAATCACTTTTTTATACAACCGGCCTCAGCTTTTTACAGATGTATTAGTTGTTCACATCGGTATATATACTGTATAGCTCCATTCGGTATAAAAGAAATATTATTATGATTTATGAAAATGTTCAAACAATTAAAATTTTGATTAAAAAGAATGATGGACATTGGACATATTTGGACATATGCATGCACTTCTAGCTCGTGAAGCGCGTTGGCCATTTTTTATTTTAGTCTAATTTTTACGCCATATTTATACGGCAATATAAGCAAAACTTTCTATATTAATTAGCGTTAATATGTCTTTCAATTTCTCAGAGATTTATCGTCTCTTCTACACATACTTATCGTCTCTTCTATCATAAATAATATTCAACAATGTCAGTGTCTTAATGGCGCGTGCAATGGTTAATTTTACTCGTTTTCAAGATAACTGAAAATAATCTTTTCTCATGTAAACAAACGAACCTTCCAACACTAGGTGAACAATTCGACATTTCCATTTCTGGAAATAAAATCGAAAGAGAAAGAGTTAAAAGATACAATTGCTCAGGCTTGGGACTGGATGAAGTTTTATCGTGAGAGTCTCATGTGAACCAGGGCATCTTTTAAGGATTCTTCAGTGGTGGGGCAAAACTACCAAAGGGCCCAGGCCATTTTTTTTCCCTTTCCCTGGATAGTACGCGAACACCGAAGGTGGGTTTAAGCACAT